TAAAGCTTCATTTGGAACTGCTTTTTTACTGTTTCTTAAAGCAATTTTAAAGTTAAAAAATGAAAATTTTGTTCTAAAAAATTGCTTTAAAAAATAATAAAAAAGCCGTTCCAAATGAAGCCCAAGTTTGCTGGTACCTTCACAAATAATAATTAATTTGTTAGATTTATATTTTTTGCGATGCTAATGATGTATATTGTCATGGTAGTAAAAAAATATTATGGATGTCGGAATATATCATAATTGGAGGGGTAAATAGAATACTTAATGGAAGAAAAGTATTAACAAATAAATTTATTTCTTCATAAAGTTGGAACTTATGTTTGTCCTAACAAGGGTAAAATCCACAAGGAATTATAAATTCATGTTTTAAACCTGTCATTCTAGATTTAAAATTTACTGCTTGATGATCTTATTATAAATATGTATTGCTGCTTGTTTTTAGATTCCAACAAAGCTGTTATTATGGGACGACCTTCCTAGAAATGCTATGGGAAAGGTAAAGCTTCTTGTTATACATTCGGTTTTTTTTTTTTTTTTTTTTTTTTTTTTTTTTTTGAGAATTAAGGAATAGCGCCTGGACTTAATACACATCACATATGTATAATTAGGGGTGTCAATTTCTGTCACGAGTTGGGTTCGAGTCGAACCGGAAATTGATCCGACACTATTCCGATCAACATGAACCCGACCTATTTTTGCAAACGGGCCAGTTTTTCGGACTCGAACCCGACCTACTTTTTTGCAAACGGGTCAATTTCGGGTCAACCCGACCCGATTTTTGAAATGGGTCAAATTGTTGAACCCTAACACGACCCGTTTCGGGTCCAGATTGACCTTAACCCATAATTTTTTGGTCAGATTTTTGGGTCGTGTCAAATATTTACACCCCTTTGTATAATTCAAACTCAAAACCCCTTACTTGATAGCCAAAACATCTGACCAACAGACTAAAAAGAGCTGCAGGTACATTCCAATATCGCTTTACTATTTGTCCTAAACTTTTCATTTCTGTCTTTTAGGTGAATAAGAAAGAGCTCAAAAGATTGCTTGAGAATTGATTTGCTTTCCTCAGAAGGAAGTTGCAGTTGGATGGCTTCAATTTTTAGGTGAGAATTGGTTATCTCATAGATTGTGGCTCTTCAATGTAGGCGGTTCTAGAAGTTTCTGCACGTAAATAAATAAATTGTAATAATGTACTTGTAGGTTATTATTTAATTTCATAAATAGTTTCTCTTTAGAGAGAGAGAGAATATTGTACGTTGAAAGATCATTATATTATATCAATATATGCGTTTGATGTCAGCACAGAATAATTTTTCTTGTTTAAAATACTAAAAAATGTATTACTTTGGTCATCTTCATTTGAAAATTTTGTTTTTTTATTTTAAAATAATAATATTTTATAATGCAGTAATTAACCTTCAATCAAATCTAATTTTATAACACAAAAAAAAAAAATATATGTTTTTATTTTCTACCTGAAAAAGGGTGTTTATGAGTTGCGTTGGGGATGGCGTGATGAATTTTGTTCTCACGTTTCAAAATGTTTTATAATGTTAAATTGCTTAAATATAAGTTTTTGTTGAAATAAATAAAAATAACATCGATTAATTTTAAATAAATAACATTTTCACCCCCATTAATTTTATCCTATCAAATTATTATTTACTTAAAGAGTGATTCACATATCCAAAAATACTTATAAATTTATATATCTAACACTCAAATATCTAAATCACATAAAAAAATATCATATATATTAACTTTTTTTAAAATAAAATATTTCTTTCATATATGCTATGATAAAAATTTATCTAAAATTATATATAAATGAAAATTTAAAGGTTTGGTATGTAAATTTAAAAGAAATTAATGGAGCATATCTAAATCCTCCCATTAAAAAACAATCTACTCTACTATTACTGCCATTGTCCTAAAAAATTAAAGATTATTAATAATTTCTAAATTCTGATGATAATACTAAAATAGGTGTAAAATTCAAGAATAAAATCCGACAAAAAACCGCCATCTAAGCAACAACTAGCAAATACTAAGGCTTCGTCATGGATGACTTTCTTACTGCTTTCTAAATCACTTTTTTAATAAAATTTTTTAAACTAAAAAAAATTGTACTAAAAAATTACTTCAAAAAACAGTAAGAAAGTTGTACCAAATGGAACTTATACAAGCGCTTTTATTCAGACGGAATGGAAAAGCACCCACCGCCGCGTTCTTACTGTAGAAAGCTCACAGCCTCACACCAACAAAGAGCAGCAGTTTTAGGTTTCGTTTGGGACAACTTTCGTACTGCTTTTTAAGACGGCTTTTTAATACAAAAAATTCAAATTCAAAAAATTTTTGTACTATAAAGTTGTTTTAAAGAGTAAGAGAAAAACTGTCCCAAACGAAATCTTATTATTACAGACTACAGAGACTCGAGGATCTCCTCAGCATCAGAGACGGTGAAATCCCCGCCCTGCTTAACGTTAGCCACCTCCACCTTGAGATCTTCCAACAGGAATGCATACCCGTGAGAGTGCACTGCAGGTGCTTTCTCGCTCCGATCCAGCTCCAGGCCGAGCATCCTTGCTGATTCATAGGCGAGGAACTTCACGCGCGAGTGATCTGGGTATCTCTTTGCCCAGGCCTTCATCACAAATGGATCATTCACTGCGCAAGAGTTGAAGATTTG